TGCAAGTCTCCCAAATTAGGATATCAATCTCTCTGTGTAGTCACTGCCTAGACAGAACAGCCTCAGCTTCCTGTCTACCTTAATTTTCCTAACTTCTAAGTGTTCTGGGCAATTAGCCGACGCTAGCAAACACAGGCCCTGAACTTTACTGCCACAATAAAACAAAGACAAAAACAAAATGATAAAAAGTATATAACTCTTTACAGAAGAAGTCAAAATAAATCCCATACAAATCATCTAAGGGCCTGGGAAAGAATTTCATTATTTACTTAGCTAAATAAAGAGAGGAGAAAAGCCAAACCAAAAGTTCAGCTACCAAAGTTGACATTAATATGTTAACTAATGTCAGTTTTATATAAACACTTTGATTATCTAAAGTAAAGGCCTGAAGAACATACTGAGTACACCTTAGAATAAAACAATTATAGTACAGCTTTGAGGGGTACATTCCGTGAGTAATAATGGGTAAAATTACAAATACCTGTAATGAAAAGGCATTAAGAGCAAAAAGGGGATGGTAGAGAGTAGACAGAACACAGCTTGAGATAACTGGGTTCTCGCTCCAATTCTGGGACTAAGTGCTGATGTGACCTATGGGACTCGACAATGAGGACTCCATGCCTCAGCTAATGGTCGATAGCAGGAGCGGGTAGTACCCCAGCAGTGACCCTCACAGCCCTGCCCCAGGAACCTGAGGTACCAAGAGGTACTTTGGGAACCAGGCGCAGAGCAGAGGACATACCAGGGACATGAGGTCACAAGCTCCTTCCAAAAAGGACTCTAGCCTCTAGTCTGGTAAGATTTCACATGAGTAAGATGTTTTTGTTTTTTAGGACAGCATCTTATCTTGTACAGCCCAGACTTGTCTCCAACTCAGGAGCCTCCTGATTCTGCCTCCAGAGTACAGGACTATAAGCATGCACCATTCCTAGCTCTGTTCCACCCCTTTTAGAAAAATGTTTGACAACTCTATTCCTGACTACAAATTTAAAAGAGAAGACCCCACTATAGTCTCCCATACTATTTTGCTGTTTTCTTTTAAAGCACTCATTACAATTTGCAATCACTGTACATATAATTAGTGTTTATTGACTGCTTTAACCCAAGAGCTTGTGAGCTTCACAACAGTAGCAACCAAAGAGCTTGTTTCATCTTTGTATTTTTTGTAGTCACACTGTGTCCCTAAAACTATGACTGAAACATGGTAGGTGTTCAACAAATATTCCTTCAATAATGAGTAGTAAGTCCCTTTCCTATTTGAGATTTTATGATTCTGCTGATCATTCTAATATACTTTAAACAACACATTAGCTAAAACTCAAGAAAGTGCCAGTGGGTCAATGGCTCACCTGACCTGAATTTTAAATAGGACAAATGCTCAGACAGAAAATCCAAACAACAGCTGAAAGGAAATTTGAGATGGCAAAATTTCTTAAATGAGAGAGTCACAATGAATAAATAAGACTCTTGGAGAATACCTGAGCTCCTGGAAACAGCAGTCCTGCTTGCATATACTAAATACGTCATGCCAACTATGCCTATTAAATTCCATCTTGGTATTTAATTTCTGGGCCAAAAGACTCTAAGAGAAAATTTAAATGTCTTAGTACATTAGGGAATTTGCCAAGGGGAAAGTTACTATTCAACATGTCATTAAGATGTGTAGCAAGGTCTCTGCTAAAAGGCCCTGAGAGACCATGGGACACAGGGCTCTGGGAACTGTGAATCATCTGCAGATGTATTTGAGACTTGTGGTTCAAGGTGATAGACTGACTCTACTGAGAGCAATCCTCCTGTACCAAAAACAAACACAACAAAACAGATTTAACCATAAAAACAAATGGATGCAAGCATAGCTAGAATCAAAACAAAACAAGAAGCTTTTTAAGCTTAAAAAGTGAAGTATCCTCCATGAAAGAAAATAAAGGAGCAGCCACAGTGAGTGGTGAGCAAAGACTACTCCTCAGCAGTCAAGAGTCACACAGAAGAGCGGACACCAACTTAAATTTGATTCTTCCAATGGACTCCCACCCAAAGAGAAAACAGACCGGGTAAAAAGGTCTCTAAGAGATGTATTTTTAATATTCTCACGCATCTAGAGTACAGAATGGTGCTCTGAAAAATAACCAGATTTTAAAAATGAAAATCACAATACTAAGCTTTTTAAAACTTCCACAAATAGACTAAATGTAAAACTGAATACATCTAAAGATTGATAGAACATTTTTAAAAAGTTAAGAAATGTGAAATCTAGCCAGTTTTAAAGTCTCTATTTCAGAGTTCCAGAGAGTGTGAGAGAAGGGAGAAGAAGCAATAGTGTTAGCAGAACAAATAATCACTGAGAATTTTTCAGAACTAGTGAAAGACATAAGCCACACAGACTTAAAAATCTTGAATATTAAAAAGAGTTAAAAATTAACTAGAAACTCAAACTTTATATCCAGACAGATTATGGTAAAACTCCACATTATCAGTTATTTAAAGAAAATTATAAGAATACCAACAAAACATAAGACTCTCATCGGGAGAAATCAGATCATCTTCAGCAAAAGTGATTACAAAGCCATACAGCACTAAGTGATATCTTCAAAAAATGAAGACATCTGACTTGACCTGTTTAGAATCACAAAGGTTTACCACATGGTCAACTTAGTCCTCAGTGATCCTTTACTGGGAAAGCATGCCTTCAATTTGAGGGCTGCTCTCCTCAATTTTTTCTCTTTTGTTTTTGAGACAGGGTCTTACTACGTAGTCCAGGCTGGCCTTGAACTCACCATCTGTAGTGTTAGCCTCCGAAGTGCTCGAATTATAGGTGTATGCCACCATTCCCAGGATTCCCCAGTTGTTTTATTTTGTTTTTTGAGATGGTCTCACTTTGTAGTGCACGCTGGCCTTGAACTCAAAGTGATCCTACTGCCTCACTCTCCTGAGTGCTAGGATTGCAGATGTGTGTCATTATACCCAATTTCCCTAGTTTTTAAAAAATAATATTAAATGCTTTGACCTGCATCTGTATCCTAGTTTTTTTCCTCCCATTGTTATCACTAATACTTCAAAATCATAATTTTTATAATTAAAATTTCATGAAATCAGTTTCATGACTCAGTTTTCTTTTTAAATTTTAAAGGAAAAATTCAAAACAAGACAATAGAGGAAAGTAACAATGACCAATACGTTGTATATTGTATATTTTTGTCCTTGGCTCTATTAATATGGTGTATTACATTTATTGATTTATGTATGTTGAACCATCCCTGCGTCTCCAGAATGACTCCAGCTTCGTCACTGTATAATCTTCTTGATGATTTGCCTCATTCTGTTTGCCAGTATCTTACTGAGGATTTCTGCATCTATGTTCATGAGGGAGATTGGCCTGTAGCTCTCTTCCTTTGTTGGGTCCTTCTCTGGTTTGGTATCAGGGTAATATTTGCTTCTAGGAATGAATTTGGAAGTAATGCTTTCCTTTAAATGTCATTAAAGAGTTTGAGAATTAGTGGTACTAGGCCTTCTCTACATTTCTTGTAGAATTCAGTAGTGAATCCATTAGGGCATGGCCTTTTCTTTGTTGGTAAATTTTAAATAACAATTCCAATTTCACCAATTAATACTGATTTACTTAGAATTTTTTAATCTCCTTGATTCAGGTTTGGCAATTCATATGTACCTAGGAATCCGTCCATTTCTTCTGTATTTCCCATCTTATTAGAATATAAGTTCTCAAAGTACTGAGTGGATATGGACTTCTGCAGGTTATGCTGTGATTTTACCCTTTTCATTCCTAATTGTGTGGATCTGAGTCTTTCGTTTTTTGGTAAAGTTGGCATAGAGTTTTGATTCATTTAATCTGTGAAAGAACCAGCTCTTTGAGTCACTGATTCTTATGTACTGTTTTCTTAGTTTCCAATGCATTAATTTCTGCTCTAATCTTCATAATTTCCTCTTGCATGAGTCTCGAGCTTGGCCTGATCTTTTTTACCTTGAAGTTTGAGGTTCAACGTTAAGTTGTTTATTTATAGTTGCTCTGTTTTCCTGATATGAGTATTTACTGCTATAAATTTCCCTGTAGGACAGCTTTCATTGTGTCCCATAAGTTCTGGTATGTTGCACTGTTGTTATCATTTAATTGTAGACACTAATTTCTTTTATTAAATTTTATTTTAAAGAGGGTAAAATTGAACATAAGAAAATAATGTAAGAGACACAGATTTCAAAGCAAGACAACCAGAGATCTTCACTATTTATCATATTGTCTCTTGTTTTCTTCCAAATAGTTATCTATATCTTTACCTACAGTGAATTCATACAAAATAACATAGTATCCTGATCAGAACATGGATGATGAAGGCATTTTAGGTCTTCAAAACCAGACAATAAGAAAGTCAACAATGACTGTCACACTGTCTCTCATTCTCTTCAAAATAGCTGTCTATACCTTCATGTATGTTGACAAAACAGATTGTTGATTAAACAAAGCAGAATAAAATCATTTTGAACAAAGAATAACAGTATTGCTAGATTTCACATCATGGCACTATGGAATTAGCACTGGGCACCTTAGTGTCTCTTTTTCTTCAAAGTAGAAGTTCATTTCATCGTGCATTATATAATCAGTTCTCACAAACTGTTTAGAAGTTCTACGAATACATGAGTCTATTTGTATATCTATCCTTTCTGTATTAGAGGGAAAAACAAAAAACAAGACAAAACAAAACAAATTCCTAGAAAAACATGAAGCGGAAAAGACATAAAATTGCAATACAAGGTGATTTACATTAGTTACTATGATGTCTCTTATCTTCAATAGAATTGTCTAGCAGTACATAACAATATTAATAAAAAAATTGGAGACATTGTAAGACTTCAAAAGCAGATAATAGTCAACCAGAGTGAGTGTCCTGGTGAATCTTACCATCTTCAGAGTATTCGCCTATACTCTCAGACTTGATACTATCAATCATTAACAGATTCAAATACAATCGGTCAAGACAAAACAGCAGTATCTGGCCCTGAATCAAGGCCGGAAGCTTCCTGACGCTGTTGGTTTCAAGTAGGAGCCTAAAGAGATGTCTTTTTATGGTCTTTTGGCCATTTGAGAACTTGGGTAGTGAAATGGTCAAGTCATTAGAAAGAAACAGCTTGAAGCAACCCTCCCCCCGCATCAGCTGTGGGTGTGGCAGGCTGCAGCAGTCCAGGATGGGAGCCACCAGTGTTTACTAGGACCTGCGCCATGCTGAGACCAGGAGTGCAGGGAAACCAAGCAACCCCTCCCCACTGGTGAGCAGCTGTGACTGTGGCAGGCTGCAGTGGCCCAGGATGGAAGCCACCAGTGTTTACTAGGACCTGGGCCATGCTGAGACCTGGAGCACTGGGAAACCCCTATTCTCCTGGTGAGCAGCTGTGAGCATGGCAGGCATGGTGGCTCAGAATGGAAGCCTCAGGCATTTACTGGGACCGCGCCATGTTGGAACCTGGAGCACCAGGAAACCAAGCAACCCCTCCCCCTCTGCCTGTTTTGTTTTGTTGAACTTCAATATACATAAAAGTATGGACAGCTAATTTGAAGAGAATGAGAGTCTCTATGACAGCCATTAGTGACATCTCTATTGTCTGGCTTTAAAGACCTAAAACACCTTCCTCATTCTGTTTGGATCAGTTTTATGCTATGTTGTTTTGTATGAATTCTCTGTATGCAAAAACATGGACAACTATTTGGAAGAAAACAAGAGACAATATGATAAACAGTGAAGATCTCAGGTCGTCTAGCTTTGAAATTTATATCTCTTACGTTGTTTTCTTATGTCTTATTTTGTTCTGTTTTGTTGTGTTTAATTTTACCCCTTTTAAAATAAAAATTAAAAAAAGATAAAACAGTGATCTAATAAACCAGATTCAAATAAGATCAGTCATAATAAGATAGTGTAAGTTATACAGTGCTTCAGATTAAGTTAATAAGAAATTAAGGATGGTTACCATAGTGTATCTTGCTATTTTTGGAATAGCTGTACGTGCCCTCAAATCTAGTACAAGTAGACAGACTGGAATAGAAAATAATCCATCTAAACAGAGTGATGAAGATAATTTGGACTTTAAATCCTGATACACTATTAACAATGTCCTATAGCTTCCTCTTTTAGACAACTTCTCCCTTTTCACTTTCACAGGGTATAATGTGTATTTTGGGTCCCACTAACTCCTTTAGTTTTTAGATTAGGGGGCAACCCACTATTTACCTAAGTGGTTCTGAATCTTTTTACCCCTGGGCTTGATCTTTAAGTTGTATTCCTTTACCTACAAAAGCCTCCAGTTTTCTTTTGCTATAGTTGAGTAGTTTTCCACTATGCAAAAGTGTCATGTCTTTCCAACCTATCTGCAGCTGCTGGATGAGTTGCCCCTTTTTCTCTCTGATTCCCTGTTGCATAGAGGATTGTTTTCTCATATTTGATTTGATTTTATAAACCCTCTTTCAGGTTAATTACATTTCCTATACAGAGCATTATGATGGACTCTTATCTCCTGATCTACTCTGCCTGTGTTTCTTTTTGTTAGTGTATCAAGGTCATCTATGTTAGAGATTATAGCCAACCTTCTCTGCCTCATTTCTGCTATGCTATTTTTTTGCCACTGGTTTTCAACTTTTCTCCTTCAGTCCATTGTCTGCCTCATTCATTGAGGCCTCTCTGCCACTGTTCCTGAAATCCTGATGTTTTTTTCCTCTCTCTCTAGAATGTCCTTCAGTATTTTTGTAGGCTTGGATTGGTGGTCATGAACTTCCCCAGTTCCTCTTTGTCATGGAAGCATCTTGTTTCTCCATTAATTTTGAGAGACAGTTTTTCAGGGTACATCAATCTGGGTTAGAGTTTATTTTCTTTCAGGGATTGGAACACTTTGCTTCAGGCTCTTCTTGATTTGATACTTTGTGTCTAGCAGTCTGTCGGGATTCTGATGGGTTTTACTTTTTAGGTGATCTGTTTCTTTTCTCTAACAGCTTTTAATATTCTGTTCTTGTGATGAATTTCTGGGATCTTGATTATTATACGTTTTGGTGTAGATCTGTTTGGTTGAGGGACTGGAGTTCTGTATGCCTCTTACATCTGAATATAATTTCCTTTTCCTATGCTTGAGAAGTTTTCCTTAATTATTTCTGTGAATAGTCTTTGTATTTCCTTTGTGTTTACCCATGCGTCACTTAATTTTTTATTCTTAAGTTATAGATCCTCTTGTCATCTTCTAGCCTTTGTATTGTTACTGCCTGTTTCCCTGTTATTTTTAAGAGATCTTTCCTTTCATGATCACACAATGCAGACCTATCTTCAAGTTTTGTTAATCTAACTTTAGTTTCTTTCAGACAATTTTGGCAGCTTTCAATCAATTTTTTAATTTCCTGGTAATCTCTTTGAATCTGTTTCATGTATCCTAGGTTATTTTTATATTCATAATCGAAGGCTTCTCTCTTTTTACTGCGTTCCTCCTTTCTTCCATTTGTTCTTGAGAGGTGCTTATCATTTCTTTTATTAATCTTCTCATACCTTGCTTTACATGTACTAGAAATTCAGTTTTAATTTCATCTATAATGACACAAAGATATTTATGTCAGCTGATGCTATGTCTGATACTGCATGTTTGCTGCCCTCGATCTCTTCTGTATTCACCTCACCTGACCCATTTTCCCTGCGTTGGGAGCTGGAGGCTTTTTCTTATTTCTTTCTCTTGTCATGTTTGTGTTTTCTACACAAACATGGTGTATGGTAGAGGTCCCAGCCCCTTTCCATATTGGTCATGGTTCTTCTAAAGCATGTTGTCTAGGGATTTCTACCCTGTCCAGTTTGCTGTTGACAGACACTAATTTCTTTAATTTCATCTGTAACCCACTGGTTGTTCAGGAGGCTATTATTTAATTTTTATATGTTCATGGAGTTTCTGTGGTTTCTTGTGAAACTGTTCCAATTTCATTGCATTATGGTCTGATGCTATGAATGAGATAATTTTAATTCCTTTGCATTTACTTAGGCATATTCTATGAGCTAGCCTGTGGTTTATTTTGGAGAAATTCCATTGCAGCTTAGAATGTTTATGCTGATGTTATGAGGTGTAACACTATAAACATTCTACTAAGTCCATCTGTTCAAAAGTCTGGTTCACTTCTAATATTCCATTGTTGATTTTTTTGTTTAAGTGAACCATCTTTTTGTGATAGTCAGTATTGAGATCTCTCAATACAATTGTATTAGGGTTTATTTAATTTTTAATATCCAGTTACATTAGTTTTATAGTTAAGTGCACTGATATTTGTTACATATATATTTATGATTGATATTTATTACATATATATTTATGACATATATATTTATATGTATTTTTCTCTTGGATTGTTCCCTTTAGAAGGATGTAGTGACCTTTTATTATTTTTTGACAAGGTCTTGCTATGCAGCTCAGGTTGGCCTTGAGCTTACTTTGTAGTCCAATTTGTGGTCTCAAACTTCCCACAATCCTTCTGCCTCAGACTCTTGAGTGCTGGAGGACTCAAGAGGCATGCACCACCATGCTCAGGATTTAGTGACCTTCGTGTCTCTTAATCAGTCTTGGATTGAAATCCGCTTTGACTGTGAACAGAATAGCTACCCTTGCTTTTTTTTTTTTTTTCTGGGTTCCTGTTGCATGGAGTATTGCTTTCTACCCACTGAACTTAGGTCTATGAATTTCTTTTTTGAGTCAAATGTGTTTCCTGTATGCAGCATTCTGTTGGATCTTGTTTACTGATCTGTTCTGCCAGTCTCCATTTACTGCTTGGTGAACTGAGACTATTCACATTGACAGTTGTAACTGATATGTACTGACTTGTCCTTGTCATGTTATTTTCCTGTTGTTGGCTTCCCTTTGTTTTCTACCCTCATGTGTTTATTTGCCTTACCTAGTGGATATCTGCTATTGGGGTTCATGGAGTTGTAGTCCTTATTATCTCTTTCTAGAATGTCCTTCAAAACATTTCAGAGCTGAGGATTTAGCTCAGTGGCAGAAACAACTGTTTGGCAAGCATGAGACTGCAAGATTGATCTCTGGTACAAAAAAAATTCTAGAGTGCTTGTTTGGTGTCATAAATTTCCCTAAATGTTCTTTGTTATAGAAGTATCTTATGTGTCCATCAGTTTTGAAAGCTAGTTTTTCAGGGTGTATTAGTCTGAGCTGAAGGTTGTTTTCATTTAGAGCTTGAAATACTTCACTCCAAGCTCTCCCTGACTTGAGGTTTTGTGTTGAGAAGTCAGCTGTGTATCTCCTTTCCTTTATAGGTGATTTGTTTCTTTTCTCTAACAGCTTTTAGTATTCTATTCTTGTGCTGAATTTCTGGAATCATGACTATGATATGCCTGACTGTAGATCCTTTTTTTTTTTTTTTTTTTTTTTTTTTGGATCATTGCTAACTGGAGTTCTAAATGCCTCGTTTATCTGTATGTCAAATTCTTTTTCTGTACTGGGGAAGTTTTCAGCCATGATGTCTGTAAACAGTTTTTTAAAAAAAATATCATTCATGTCATCTTCTGTTTTTTCACTGACTCCAATCAAATTAAAGTTATTTTTTTTGCATCATCTAGCAACTGCTAAATTGATTTCTCATGATCACTTGCTATTTTGAAAAAAATATTTCTTTTCATGATTGCTAACAGCAAGTCTGTCTTCTATATCTGAGTTCTGGTCCTCACATTGGCTGATTATGCTGCAAATACTTGCAATGGAATTTATTCTCTTGGATATAAACCTGAATATGTCTTACGGGTTCCAGTTTTTCCTATGCTGAGCATTCATGGCTTCCATAATTTTCTCAAGCTCCTTTATAGCTCTTTATTCGTATCTGTTCTAGAGTCATTAAGCATAGTTTTCATTGTTGACAACATCTCTGTAATTATCCGAGAAATTATTTCTGATTTGATTTTTTTTAGAGTCTCATTCAAATGCTTTGCTGTTACCACTTTATAGAGTCCAGGTGGGTGGCTTGCACATTGTTCCTCCTCACTACCTGTTGGATTTGCTTTTAGTGAACTGGATGTCTGGGGTTGCATCTTGTTTAAGTGTCTTCTCATTTTATTTTATTTTCTTTTTTTAGTTTAATTCCTGGATTGATGCTTGTAGATTGCCTATGGTGAG